GGTACCCCTCAGGAAACACCTGCTACTACTCCAGGAACCTCAAGTACCCCTTCAGGATCCCCAAGTAACCCTCAAGGATCCCCTGATACCCCTCAAGGACCATCCAGTTCACCCCAAAGCTCACCCAATAAGCCGAACAGTTCTCCTCAAAGTACATCAAAGACACCAGGAGCACCTGGCAATCCCCAAGGATCCACAAGCGCTCCTAGCCCTTCTGGTAAAACCAAATGTACGCCACTACCTGAAGGTAATCAATCACTGACCTCAAATATAGACTGGATTGCACAAAATTGTTTTAATATGCGGTTCGTTTGATCAAGCAATGCAAGTTGACAAAATTCTCATGTAAACTCTCGCTTCCCAACTCTCATGCAACTCTTGTTCTCGTTTGATCAAGCAATGAACGTTGAGAAAACTCTCATGTAAACTCTCGCTTGTCAACTCTTATGTAACTCTTGTTCTCGTTTGATCAAGCAATGAAAGTTGAGAAAACTCTCATGTAAACTCTCGCTTGTCAACTCTTATGTAACTCTTGTTCTCGTTTGATCAAGCAATGAATGTTGAGAAAACTCTCATGTAAACTCTCGCTTCTCAACTCTCACGCAACTCTTGTTCTCGTTTGATCAAGCAATGAAAGTTGAGAAAACTCTCATGTAAACTCTCGCTTCTCAACTCTCACGCAACTCTTGTTCTCGTTTGATCAAGCAATGAAAGTTGAGAAAACTCTCATGTAAACTCTCGCTTCTCAACTCTCACGCAACTCTTGTTCTCGTTTGATCAAGCAATGAAAGTTGAGAAAACTCTCATGTAAACTCTCGCTTCTCAACTCTCACGCAACTCTTGTTCTCGTTTGATCAAGCAATGAAAGTTGAGAAAACTCTCATGTAAACTCTCGCTTCTCAACTCTCACGCAACTCTTGTTCTCGTTTGATCAAGCAATGAAAGTTGAGAAAACTCTCATGTAAACTCTCGCTTCTCAACTCTCACGCAACTCTTGTTCTCGTTTGATCAAGCAATGAAAGTTGAGAAAACTCTCATGTAAACTCTCGCTTCTCAACTCTCACGCAACTCTTGTTCTCGTTTGATCAAGCAATGAAAGTTGAGAAAACTCTCATGTAAACTCTCGCTTCTCAACTCTCACGCAACTCTTGTTCTCGTTTGATCAAGCAATGAAAGTTGAGAAAACTCTCATGTAAACTCTCGTTTGTCAACTCTTATGCAACTCTTGTTCTCGTTTGATCAAGCAATGAAAGTTGAAAAAACTCTCATGTAAACTCTCGCTTCTCAACTCTCATGCAACTCTTGTTCTCGTTTGATCAAGCAATGAAAGTTGAGAAAACTCTCATGTAAACTCGCGCTTCTCAACTCTCATGCAACTCTTGTTCTCGTTTGATCAAGCAATGAAAGTTGAGAAAACTCTCATGTAAACTCTCGCTTGTCAACTATGTTTATGCCATTAATTGCATTATTTTGTTAACAGGGTCAAAGATTTGTTCGTCGCAACCATCACCAAACCTTGCAGACGCCGCGCACACGTTTCGATATCGTTTACCGCCCGTCTTTGGTCCGTACGACACAGCAGGTAAGGACGCGACTGCCACGAAGTAAGATCCACCCAAAAACGCACAAGTTGTTACAGTTCTGCAAACAAGTTGTTACAAATCTGTTTACAAGCTGTCGGCAAGTTGTGTTCACAACAACCTTGCGACAAGTCTGATAATATCAACAAAGTTTTTACAAGTTGTTAACAGCTTGTTCCAAACTTGTTGACAACTTGGGACGTAGGCATGAGTGCAACTGTCATGCGCGTTTGACTGGGGCCTTAGCCAAATCGCTCAAATATAAATTCAGGGTGTTAGCTAGCCCATATACGGTCCGTTTGACGGACTCTTCCCAATTGAAGTAGCTAAGGGGCTTTCCCAACTGGGTCTACTGGAAGATTTTCATTTTTTCTGATGAGAAAATGCTTTGCATTTGATTTTATATTATTATATCAAAGAACGTTTTATTTACTTTTTCCCATTAACTATTTTCTTAAAATGTATCGCGTTTCATTCATATTGGGTGTGTTTTCACTGAAATGAAATGTACAAAACAAAGTGTAATCGGCGTGCATCCCTGTTTTTCAGTGTTCATTCACCGGAAATGAAATGTACAAAACCAAGCTACCGTTGTTTGCATCTAAGAAGAAACACGTTGGAAAAAAAGACTATTTATTCCTACACAACTCAAGGACTTTGATCGGTCAAAAAAACGTTCCCAATTTACGTTTAACGGACAAAACGTTTTTTTCTGGCTAACACCACTGAACTATATAACATGGAAGGCTGACTCGAGCTCAAAAAGTGAAGCCAAACATAAACGAAGTTTATTTCCCTTTTTGCTCTTTTAAAATGAAGAAATTAAAACACAACCCGATAGTCGCGGACTCATCACTTCCCGCCATGAAAATATAAAAAATCGGTTTGGCCGCGCGGGTAAGGAGACTGAGAATGACGCGCAAAATCTGCCATCTTTGGCTTCACTTTTTGATTACATCACTGACGGAAATCAGCCTTCCATGTATATAGAACTTTCACTGGCTAACACCCAGGGCCGCAGAGAGGGGGGGGGGCAGGGGGGGGGGCAGGGGGGGGGGCAAATTGCCCCGAGCCCCGAGTTGC